GGAGTTTTTACTCTTGAACTTTCCCACTACCTTAAGAATTTCATTTTCATCAACTGGGCTGAGGAAAAAGGAGCTATAACTTTGATTGTAACAGACGTCACTTTGCATAGAATTGATTGGTGAGTCAATTGTTTTAGCAAGTTCAGGCCCTATTTCAACAAAGTACTTGTTAAAGCCTTCCGCTACTTCTTGTGGATTAACCAGGGTCTCATTATTATGTGTGTAATATTCTGCTATTGCATTTAATTTGGGTTTGGTTCCGATGATTTCATTTAGCACTCTCCAGAAGCCCTTAATATTATTTTTATTATGTTCAAGCAAAGTCTTATAATAGTCTGTTCTGGTTTTCCTTAAAATTTCCGTTAATTTGTTTTTATACTTTTTGTACCTGTTTTCAGAGTCTGTAGTTCTTGTTTTGATAAATTTTTTATACAGTGTGTTTTTCTTTTTACAAGCATTTACCAAACCCTTTGTCATCCAAGGTTTTAGATTTTTACATTTAGTATTTAATTTAAACAAAGGACAATGTGAATCGAGGTATGATAAAAGGACTGTCATAAAGTTGTCATATGCAACATCTATGTCTGTCTCTTGAATGATAGTTTCCCAGTTATGTGACTTAAGGCTTTGCTTGAGTGCATTTAATGAGTCTTCAGTTAATTTCCTTCGGTATTTAATTGTGTTTGGGTTAGGGATGTAAAAAACTATGAATTTTCATGACCGACCACCGAGCCTCATTAACCGGTTGAAACCGGTTAACCGCGTAGTTTAAAATAGTCCACGTTCTTTGAAATAACAGCCATTTCGAGCCATGTACTTTTCATAAGTGCAGCTCTGCGTTCTACTGGATCAGAGTTGAGACAGCGGCGCCCAAACCCGCAACAGCTTCGGCACCTTTGCGCACAGAGAACTGCTTTTTTAATCTTCCCATTCTGTGCTGCGGGTTAATACCAAAACTTTCTAGCAGCAAACGACGGCTCGTTCACATGGTCAGAGCAGCGAGTGACGAGCCGCGTCTCACAGGTCTGTGTGTGGAGCTGATCCCGAGGACCATAAACACAAACATGTTCCATGTGGTTGGACTGGAGCCGCGTATTTGCGCGAATCCTTTGGGCTCCGTGACACAGAGGAGCGCGACAGACCTGTGTGTGTGTGTGTATGTGTGTGTGTATGTATATGTATATGTGTGTGTAAATGTAAGCTCCAATGTAGTTCTGACCTGCGCCAGTGTGCAACTTTTTGACGGTAACAGAGGGGAGAGAGGATGCGTGTGGATGTTACGTATGGAGAGGGGGAAAGTGTGTGTGTGTGTGTGTGTGTGCGCGTGCGTGTGTGCATATGTGGCTCGTGCGGCGTGAGAGTCGTCCCGGAGTTTATAATACATGGGCGCACACAGCTAGATACAGACCCGCTCGTCACACCGTGTAAATAGGGCTTAAAATAGCGTTATGAAGAGACCTCCCCTCTCCCCTTTTTCTCTTTTTTAACCGACAGCTTTGACCGGTTAACGCTGTGACGGTCAACAACCGGTTAAACGGTCGCCGATTTACATCCCTAGTTTGGGTTGAACTGAGATGTGCTTTTCTCCTTTACATCGAGGAACAAAGAAATTGGAAGGTGATCTGTAATATCGTTGATTAATATGCCACTTTTTGTATTGTTATTAATAATATTTGTGAAAATATTATCTATTAGTGTAGCACTGTGCGAGGTTACTCTTGTTGGCCTTGAGATTTTTGGGTGCAACATCATGCTATACATTGTATTGACAAAGTTCTCAATTGGACTATGATTTTTAACTTTAAGTAAATCTAAATTGAAATCACCGCATAGAATAATGTCTTTTTGTTTTTGGTTTTGAAAGGTTTTCTCAATAGATTCTATGAACTGTTCAATATCTGAATCAGGTGCCCTATAGATACAGCTTGTTTGTATATTTTTTGCATGGCCCATGTCAATTTCCACAGTGATACACTCCATAACATTATCAATTGCCATCGACATATCAGTGATTTGTTTACTTTTCAGTCTTTTATGAACAAAGAGAGCCACACCCCCTCCATTTTTGTGCCTCCTGTTTACGTTGTAGCAATTGTAGCAGTCCAGCATGAAATGTATGTCATTTTCATCTCGCAGCCAAGTTTCAGACAGTGCGATTATATCAAAGTCAACATCAAGCTGTTGGAGATAGCTTTGTATGTCTTGGAAATGTGCATTTAGGCTCCTGCAGTTCAAATGAATAATGGACAGTGTTTTATTACCATTTTTTTCGTTGAGATATTTGATTTCGTTTAGGTCTTGATAATATTTACAATTTCCCACAATAGAATCAAAAAAATTTCTATCAGGATCTGTCTCGTAGGTTACATTATGAATGCAGTCATCGTCGTTTAGGTCCTCATCAGTTTCGTCCTCAGAATTTAGTAGTGGTGTAGTCAAGGTCATCATTTATGGTTTGTTTTGATTTCCATAGTAGTCATTTTAAATTTTTCCAGTTCACAAATGTGTTTAATCCACATCACTTTGGCTTGCTCTGGAGAGCCCAGCAGCTTGATAAACACTTTACAGTTATATGACCACGTTGATTGTATTTTATTCTGTTTTTTCAGTAATCTAGCTTCTCTGGCAATGTCAGCATTTGATTTTGTTAAGTGATCGTTTAGGTACACATTTGTTCCTTTTAACCTTTTCCCCTGCTTCATCAGTGCATTTTTTTCCTTTCTGTTTACAAATCTCAAGATAATGGGTGGCTTTGCCTGGCTGTTTCTCCGAGGCAGGAGGTGACATGCTTCAATGTCCCTGGAGTCTAAAGTGATCCCTTTATTGGCCAGAAAGGAGATCACCTGCTGCTCGACAGTGTCCAAGTCAGGCTGAGTCAGTTCTCCGGTCGCTGCCGCCCTGGCATAAGTGCGGGGTTTGGTGCTCAGTCCTGTGATGACAACATCATTTATCCTTGAATATTGTTCTAGATCAGCCACTCTTCCCTCCAGAGCCAGGATTCTTTTGTCTTTATCTTCATTGTGTTGTTTTAGCATTTTAATCTCAGACATCAAGTTCATAATTAGTTCTTGCTGGTTTGAGATACTTGCCATTTGTTCAGTTAAAGTTTGCAGTGATTTCTGGATATCTTCCATTCTTCAGTTGTGTGGCTTACCGGTACACCGGAGTTTGATAGAGCAGGCCCACAGCACAGCACACAGGTGGATAGAGCAGGCCCACAGCACAGCACACAGGTGGGGAGAGCAGGCTAACAGCACAGCTCCAGGTGCAGGTGGATAGAGCAGGCCCACAGCACAGCACACAGGTGGGGAGAGCAGGCTAACAGCACAGCTCCAGGTGCAGGTGGATAGAGCAGGCCCACAGCACAGCACACAGCTTGAATGGGTTTTTCTTGACAATTCTCTCCAGGCCGCGGTTATCCCTCTTGCTTGTAGACTTTTTTTCTACCACATCTTTTTCTTCCCTTTGCCTCTCTATTAATGTGCTTGAACACAGAGCTCTGTGAACATCCAGCCTCTTTGGCAATGACCTTTTGTGTCTTGCCCTCCTTCTTTAACATGTCAATGGTCATCTTTTGGACAGTTGTCAAGTCAGCAGTGTTCCCCATGATTGTGTGTCATACAGAATCAAAACGAAAGACCATTTAAAGGCTTTTCCAGGTGTTTTGAGTTAATTAGCTAATTGGAGTGTGGCACCAGGTGTCTTCAATATCTGACCTTTTCACCATATTCTAATTTTCTGAGATATTGAATTTAGTGTTTTCATTGGTTGTCAGCTATATTGTCTTCTTTTGGGCAAAATAACAATTGAAATATATTAGTCTGTTTGGAATGAATATATACATTCTACAAGTTTGACTTTCTAAATGGAATTAATGAAATAAATCGACTTTTTCATGATATTCTAATAATATGACCAGCACCTGTATAAAGATCCGGGACTCAGGCTACAGAACAAGGACCAATGCAGGACTCAGGCGGCAATTAAAGGAGCTATACCCAATTTATTTTCTAAATGAGTTCATAAAAATGCGTTTTACTACATACAAGTTGTATTAAAATCCGTAATTTATTTGAAAACTTGAGCTCATTAATTCAGCTTGTTTATGAATTTAGGCCTTAAAAAGTGCTGAGTAGAGACTTAGCGGGACACTCGTTCTCTTCCACTCACAGAACGAGGAGCGTATAGCCTGCGTCCTCTAGCCTCTACAGCGCCGGTGGTAAACACAGCAGATTAGCAAAAAGTGGCTACTTCCTCTGTCTGTAACTGCAGACACAGCATAACAGCCCAAACGACTCAACAGTGAGGAAGAGAAGAGGAAACTAAAGCGAAAAAAATGAAGAAATGAAGCCCGGGTGGACCTACATAGCGTTAGCTTGCAGTTAGCTTACATGGTATCCTCTGGAGAGACCTGTGGGTTCGAGACCGCCTTGGACTATCTATGCTCGGACATTTGGACGCAAAACTAGCGGTAATCTTTCAGTTTTATATTTTGTTAGCAGCGCTCTTGTACCATTTCATCAGTGATTGTACTACAACTTTTAAGAAGTTGCGCTAATGCTAACGTTAGCATACGTATCAGACTGCAAATAAAACTAGATGGCTCAGTGGGATGAGAGCGTAGGGGAAATGAGAAGCCTGTGAGCGAGTTGGGGGGGGGCGGTGCTAAACATTCAAACTGAGAAAAACTTTGGAGAAACGGGTAGAGCTCCTTTAAAACTGGACCCACCTGAGGAAATGGGTGGAGTCTGATGTGTTCCTGGTTTGATTGGAATTAAAATGTGCTGCCACAACGGACCAGTTTGCTTTAGACAAACCATGTTATATGTAAAAGTATAATACAGTTTTAATTGACCTTTTTCAAGAAAACAAGTAGGAGCCTCTTTAGGACTTCTGCACGCTGTAGAGCAGGGGGTTTCACTGTCAATTATGCGGCCCGGGGATACGGCTGGAGAGTTGTAGACACCACTGAAAAGACTTCCCACTATGTTCTACTGCAGGTGCCTACTCGTTGGACCGGATCCACCCGGACTTTGTACCATCCATCTTCTCTTTCTCCAAACCTAGAGATCTGCAGAAGGGCCTGGAGCGCCTCAAGAGGTGAGAGAAAGATGTTTCATCAAAAATTGGGATTTCTCTTTTCTGAAATTCTGACTTAGTAGAAAGTTGGATTAAAAAAAAGAACCTCTCAGTTAGGCATTGAGTCAATTCAAATAATGTAATAAAAACACCACCCACAATACAGTATCCATGCACAGGTATGAGCGCACTGTGAAGCGAGTGGAGGAGAAGGGCGTGGCTTATGTTCCAGACACGCCCACTTACACCAGTGAACAGCGTGCAGTGTTTAACAGCTGCACGACCTTCAACTGGCCTTCCTTCAAAAGCGGTACGATGATGAGTTAAACGTCTGCTACTACTTAAGTCAGTAATTCTGTTTCTGCTCTCGCAGTCCCCCATGTGTCAGAAGTGTTCAGTGTTGCCGCTCGGGTTGAGGAGCAGATCCACGGTTTGAAGCGCGGAGACATCGTTCCATTCATCGTAAAATCTGCAGACCCCAGACCAGACCAGGACCTGGACTTTGGTACGGCTGTAATACCAGGACCTTCTGGTTTTCAAACTCCATCCATCCATCCATCCATCTTCTTCCCCTTAACCCATTTCTGGGTCGGGGGGGTGGCAGTCAGAGCTGCACCCAATTCACAGAGCACCAGCCCCTCACTGATCCTCTGCAGGTGGTGAGTCCACAGGAGGACGGCTGCTCTGTCAGTGACAATACAGCCTTGATTTTCAAACTCATTACACTATAATTAATCCACATACGTCATAAGAGTTCTTTCTCTAACTGATCCTAAACTTGTTTTCTCGTGCAGACTATGACCCGGTTGAAGTGCGTCTCACTGAAGCTGAAGTCCACATAGATCACAACTACAGCAGCTCAGGCGAGTCGGGCTGCAGCCCGAGGAGTCCTCCCCTTCAGCGGCAGAAACATACCATCATAGCGGAGCGCAAGTGTATGGCTGCACGACCAGAGGGAAACCGGAGTATTCCCACTATGAACAAAGCGGAAAACACAAATCTAGCCGCAGCAAAGACCATGGGAAACCCTCACTCGGCCAAAGTAATGGAAGTCCAGACCAGAGTAAATGTGAAGGCGCACTTTTCACAACAAAGGTCTTCAAAGGGACAGCAGATCAAATCCCCACCACTGGAAAAGGAACGAATAAATCATATGTCTGAATCCATCCTCCAGCCCACAGGTGTAATGTGAGATCTTTAACACAGGTGTAATGTGAGGTCTGTAACACAGGTGTAATGTGAGATCTTTAACACAGGTGTAATGTGAGGTCTGTAACACAGGTGTAATGTGAGATCTTTAACACAGGTGTAATGTGAGGTCTGTAACACAGGTGTAATGTGAGGTCTGTAACACAGGTGTAATGTGAGGTCTGTAACACAGGTGTAATGTGAGGTCTGTAACACAGGTGTAATGTGAGATCTTTAACACAGGTGTAATGTGAGATCTTTAACACAGGTGTAATGTGAGGTCTGTAACACAGGTGTAATGTGAGGTCTGTAACACAGGTGTAATGTGAGGTCTGTAACACAGGTGTAATGTGAGGTCTGTAACACAGGTGTAATGTGAGATCTTTAACCAGTGAGGGCAGGTCCCCCGCTGACATGTGCCGACCAATGCTTGCATTGAATAATTCTTATTCTGGGTCCATTTGCCCAGGGTGGTATTGCTAAACAAATCTTACCTCTTTGTTTGGACCAGTCTAGTTTAGCCGCTGTGAAATTTTGAAAGCACTCGTTAAATGAATGGGGCTTGTGCTGGCTGACGCATGCGCAGATAGTTTTTTTTTCACATTTTCCAGCCATCGTGGCCATTTTGAAACTGCCCATAGACTGCAAAAGTGATGGCACATTAGTTTTAACGGCGGAAATGGGAGAGACTACGTCTTAATATTTACAGTCTGTCTGTGACACAGGTGTTCGTCCTGACCACACCTACTGCGCCCCCTCTGCAGCCTGGCTCAACCTACAATCCCCTGCTACATCTGCAATGCCCACATCAGGTGTGTGTGTGCATGCAACTGGGTTTAAGTCAGAACCTCACGTTTTGAAATGTTCAGTTGTGTGACTTCTATCCTTTAAACATTCTCGTTTCCATCTTATCTGTTTGGGGCTTTGCTGGATGAATGACACACACAACACTTCATAGCTGTGCACTTCTCTCTTTCAGAGCCGCATGCTGCTTTAGATGCCCCGTCTGTAGAAGCGCTTCAAGCAGCGGACAAACACTTGCGCGCACACCTTGCAATTACAGCTGCTCAGACTGTCCCCACTGGTTCAAATACATGAAGAGTCACGCAAAGATCCACGATGATCCAACACAGTGCTCTGACAGCTCAGACGCTGAGACTGAACAGTGTTAGCCCACTGGCCCCCTAAAGCCATGGAGGCGTCACTCTTCTCCTTTCCTGTTTGTGCTCAGATTCAGTTGTTCTAATAGTGAGGCGTTTCACCAAAACAAATGATATTTACATCACTGCATATATCAAAAACCACAATTAAACACCATTGTTCAACAAAATGTTTATGGTCCTTTTTAGATATGACCTGTTTGGTTCATCTGTAAGTGTAGCTGACAACAGTAACAGTCCAAACATTGGTCTGAGAAAATAATGAGACACTAGTTGATACCAAAGTGATGACACACACAACTAAAACATGTTGTAATGGCTCCTGCTTGAAATACTGTCGCTTTGTAACCGTGGCAATAATTTCTCCCAATATTAGTCACTTTTCAACATTTACTCCATATTTTCTAAACTTCAGCTGGAACTAAACAGAGGCTCAGTGCTTAAGTAATTTCATGTTTTGTTTTCATCCCTTCAAGTTTAATGTAATTTCAAGATTTTGCTCATTTATACATATATAAATGATAGTTTTTTGTAAGTGAAAATATATATAAATTGCTGAGTAGTTCTGTGTAACTTCAGTGATCCACCTCCATCTAGTGGCAGAAGTGCACATTACATTCCAATATAACAGCATTCTCATATTGTAACAAGTTTGAAAACAAGGCATTCAGGCAATGAATTACACAAACACATTTTTACATGATGTCACTTCTCCACTGAGCCATGTTTAGTGCTGCTCTTTGGAACTACATAATTTTTTGTTACAGGTCATCTTCATCTTTTCGAAATTCCAAATAAAAAGGGCAGCGCTATGGGATGCTGACCAACTGACCCCAATGCACGGTTCCGGTCCTGCAGGGAGCAGTGAAGAGCAAGAATTATTTGGACAGACGCCTTCAGAAGGTGTCAATGTGTGGCTACTCTACAGAAGGCATTTTGACTACTTTCACAATGGCTTCTGCCGCTTGCAAAGTCTCCAGATCTAATGCTTCCGTGCCTGCCCTATTTGCTGTTGCTACTCCCTCCTCGACTTTAGCTCCTCCCACATGTCCAGCTCTGGCCATGTGACGGTGCAGACCTGCCTCACTCATGAAGGCCTTGGCGCAGACAGCGCAGCAGTGGTCTCCTGCTCCGTGCGCCACCTTCATGTGGTCGTGCAGCGCGCACAGCGTCTTGTACTTGCGTGCGCAGCTGAGGCAGGCGTGCGGACGCTCTCTGCTGTGAGAGAGGACGTGCTTGTTCAGAGAGGTGGATGTCCGGAAGCGTGCGCTGCACATGCCACAGCTGAATGGCTTCTCTCCGGAGTGGAACTTCTCGTGTTTCACCAGCGTCCCTTTGGTGCGGAAGCGCTTGGGACAGAGCGTGCAGCCGTGCGGGCGCTCGTTGGTGTGCAACATGGTGTGGATGGATAACGTGGCTTTGGTCTTGAACTTGAGCGTGCACAGGGAACAGGCAAAGGGCCGCTCATCGCTGTGCATGAGCATGTGGTTGCTCAGATTAATCTTCTGGTAGAAAGACTTTCCACATTCTGTGCAGAGAAACTGAGGGCCCAGATACTGCACAGACATGCTTCCATCTGCGCCTTCCCCAGACGCTTCCCTCTCCTGTTTGTGGCTCTGCAGATGTGCGTGGGCCAGTTCACAAGACTCGAACAGCTGCTGGCACACTGAGCACCTAGAGGAAGACACAAACAACTCAAGTATGAACATGACGGGGCTGTGCATAAGGCTCAAACCCACAGACCTCTATCTGTCTGGTTGTGTGTTACATGTGTCACACACCTGTATGGCTTGTCTCGCGCGTGCCGACGGCTATGGAAGTTGAGCTTGGATTTGGTGGCGAACAGCTTGCCACACTCGGGACACTCAACGGTCTTACCCGTGTGGGCGCTGGCCTCGTGGACCAGCTTCTGGGAGTTACTGTAGAAGCTCTTGTCGCAGAAGCCGCAGGGGTGGTTGCGCGTGCGGCTGTGCAGCTTGCGGTGCTCCAGCATCTTGGGCCGCGTGCGGAAACGCTTGTGGCAGTCGGGGCACTCGTGTGGGCGCTCCCCTGTGTGCACGGTCATGTGGATACCCAGTCGGTGCTCCGTGTTGAAGACCTTTCCACACGCGCCGCAGTCAAACTTCTTTTTCAGAGCTGGAAGACATTCGCTTGGTGATAACACACACACTTTACACGTGGAATTAAAATCTATAATGCACCAATAATGTGGAAGTAACAGTGGGAGAGGCTCATGTGGTCTTACCTGGCCTGGGCTCCTCAGGGGGCTGGAGTGGGTGGAACTGGCCCTGGTGCACCGTGAGGCAGATCTCCTTCTTGAAGGTCTTTCCGCACTGGTTGCAGGAGAACACGGGCAGTGAGTGGCGTCGCAAGTGTTGCTTCATGGATTTCTTGACACGGAAGCGGCGAGCGCAGATGGGACAGCAGAACGGCTTCTCCCCCGTGTGGATGCGCATGTGCTGCTCCAGCTGCCAGCTCGACTTCAACTGCATCATGACATGTGACATCAGCATGCTCCAAAGAGCGCAGCTGAAACATCTCACCTGGTCACTATGGCAACTGTGCTAACTATAGTGACTATGGCAACTGCGATAACTATGGTCTGCCAGACGTACAGGTGTGAAACAGATAAGTGTTTTCTCTACAATTCCTTGAACAATCCACATGAAACAACAGTCACTTCCACATCTTCTTTGACTGCCCACTCCTCCCTCTCCCTCTCCTCTCTCAGCACATATCTATAGCAGAGGTGTCCCTTTATGTATACGTGGTGACAATATTCAGAAGCATAAAAATGATGTCCTGTAGAACAGACTTTCAGACATCTTGGGTGACTTTGTGAATCCAATCACTGTCAAATCTGGGAAAACAACAGGACTATTTCACGTCTTTCACAAAAGTCTCCTGCTGAAAGACACTTCGACAACATGAACAAAAATATTTCGGTGGTTTGCAGGGTGTGTGACATCACCAAACCAGCTCTGTCCATGATGTCATAGTGTGACGAGTTTGAAAGAAAAGCGTGTGCACAGAGGGGGCGAGGGTTTACCTTAAGGTCGCAAACGTCGCAGCGACGCCCCTGTGTGATGTGTCTCTTCACGTGGGTCAGGAAACTGGCCATGTCCAGACACATGTTCTGGCACACAGGACAGACGACACTGCGCAGCGACGTAATCTCCGCCGCGGCATACCTGGAAACAAAACACAGCTGGTCTCCCTCTCTCTCTGGTCTCTCTCTGGTCACCCTCTCACTTACGTGTGGAATTTATTGGGGCGATTCTTCGGTGGTTGGCGGGACTCGTCATCACTATGGGAACTGAAACAAATCGCAGCTCTGTTAACGGTCTCTGCATAATTTATTATTATTATGTTCAAGCTAGAGATTTTAGACTAGAAAAATATACTAGGTAGAGATTTTGTTTTATTTTAATTTGTATAGCTATCGATCACTTCTCTTGTGTTCCTCATTCCTACTGTTCTATAAATGTTGATGCAACACTGAAATATACTCACTGTAGGACAAATAAAGGATCTTTTAATCTTAATAATGACAGTGTAACAGTGTTTGGGAGCGTGAAGCGATCACTGCTCCTTTCTTTATAAAGTAGTCCTGAAAAATATGTCGGAAAGTGTCAATATTTCCATGTGGCTGAGAGACTTGTAGTCCATTATAATATGATTATCTCTGGTCTCTCCCTCCCTCTCTGGTCTTGGTCTTTTCTGACCATTTGCCTGTGTTGTTTGAGATTCCCCTCGAGCATAGTAACTAAAAAGTGTGTCCCTGAGTGTGTTGGTCATTGAATTGGTCGTGCGCTGACATGCTTGCAATCCCACTCCTAGCCCGTGGAGGTGGACCCAGAAAGAGAATTACCCAATGCTTTCGTATGCCGTCATCTTTCCTCTCAAAAACGGCTTTACAGGATGGTCCAAAAGTCTCTTGGCCAAACTCTCACTTCCAGATGCGTGTCAATGCTGAGGGGAGTTTTTTTCTTTTTTTTTTTGGACCAGCCTACTTTAGCCACCATGGACTTTACAATGCAAAAAGCCTGTTAACCAATAAGATGTGTGACCTTTTTAAGAATATTTACCTCCACCATGTTTTTGAATGGTTGTCATAGGCTTAGAAATTGACTTATAAATGTACATGAGTGGAGCCCTCTCTACATCAATGCGCCATCTTGAAATAATAATAATAATAATAATAATAATGCATCTTTTTTGGACACTCAAAGACGCTTCACATGTGTCATTATTCATTCACTCCATACACGGTGGTGATTAACTACTACTGTAGCCACAGCTGCCCTGGGGCACACTGACAGAAGCGAGGCAACCAGTATGTGCCATCGGCCCCTCCGACCACCACCAACCATTCACACACACACCAGACTCATTCTAGGCAATGGGGGTGAAGTGTCTTGCCTAAGGACACAACGGCAGTTTGGCACTTTACAGCCGCCCCACTGTGGCTGGTGTTCCCAGAGGTTAAGTGTCTTGCCAAGAACACAACGACAGTAGTCAGCGGGAGTCGATGGTGAAAGTCTTGAGCGGGGCTTGAACCCACGACCTTCTGGCTCAAAGGCCAACGCTCTACCAACTGAGCTACTGCCACTAATTACATTAGTTGATAAAGGGACACAAAGGTGCGAGAATCGCATACTCTTTTCACAGGTGCTACTGATACCGTTTGCTTTCACTGTGCCCCCACAAGATTGAAGTAGGAACCATGGAGGACCACAATTATGGAAAAGAACTACCCGAACAAGAAGTTTGTAAGCCCTCAGTCGTACAGGGATTAGACAAAGCAAAGGAAGGTTTCTGACCCATCATCTGTACTTAGCAAGTTTTCCCAATGTTTCGTCCTCAATCCAAAGGACTTCTTCAGGGAATGAATTCTCAGACCGTGCGTTGGAGATTTATAACCTATAGGTGTGGTTA